CTATATAGGATTTACAGAGACTTGCAAACATGTGAGGGGAAATTTCATATATTAAAATAATGTATACATATAGATTAGGATATCTCTAGACTAAAATGATCAAGGGTCTGGAGAACAAGGCCTATGAGGAGCGGCTTAAGGAGCTGGGCATGTTTAGCCTGAAGAAGAGAAGGCTGAGAGGAGATATGATAGCCATGTATAAATATGTGAGAGGAAGCCACAGGGAGGAGGGAGCAAGCTTGTTTTCTGCTTCCCTGGAGACTAGGACGCAATGGAGGAATGGCTTCAAACTACAAGAGAGGAGATTCCATCTGAACATGAGGAAGAACTTCCTGACTGTGAGAGCCGTTCAGCAGTGGAACTCTCTGCCCCGGAGTGTGGTGGAGTCTCCTTCTTTGGAAGCTTTTAAACAGAGGCTGGATGGCCATCTGTCAGGGGTGATTTGAATGCAGTATTCCTGCTTCTTGTCAGGGGCTTGGACTGGATGGCCCATGAGGTCTCTTCCAACTCTTTGATTCTATGATTCTATATAGGATTTGCAAAGACTTGCAAACATAGGAGGGGAAATTCCATATATAAAATTAATGTATATAAATATATAGATCGATACAGATATATAGGTACATAGGGATTGCAAAGGCTTGCAGGGGGGAATGCTTATATATCTGTAGGAGGGATTAACATGTATTTCAGCGGAATATGCTTTTATAAGATTAATGGATATATATGGTTTGCAAAGACTTCAAGAAACACATTCATATATAAACATATTTATAGATTCTATAGGGCTTGCAAAGGCCAGGAAACCACTTCCAAGGGAACAAAAATGCACATGTAAAGTTAATACATTTATATACATACAAAAAAGCCAGGAAATTGGGTGGGTTTGAAAGAGCCATACAAACAAGGACATGAAATATATCTGCTTTCCCTCCTCTCCTCCCTTTTGACTGGAAAAGAAAACACACTGTTAAGGGAGGGGAAGAGGAGAGAGAATATATATCATATACTAGCCGTCCCCTGCCACGTGTTGCTGTGGCCCAGTCTGGTGATTTGGAAAAAAATGAGAAGGTGTTGATTTCTAATATGTACTTTCTTTATGCTTGTGGGTAAATAGTATTTCTTGCTGTTTCTTTGTCAGTGTTGATGTGGAGATTGTCTGGTTTGCCTACTCTGGAACAGGCAACATATCATTGTCCTTCATTAGGGGTTCCTTTGTGTGTGTGAATCATATCTATCTATCTATATGGCTGGATGGCTGGATGGCTGGATGGCTCTTTGTCAGGAGGGCTTTTATTACGTTTTCTTGCCCTGGTGAAGGGAGTTGGACTGGATGGCCTTAAGTATTTTCTGTTGGTCATGGGGGTTCTGTGTGGGAGGTTTGCCCCAGTTCTGTCGTTGGTGAGGTTCAGAATGCTCTTTGATTGTAGGTGAACTATAAATCCCAGCAACTACAACTCCCAAATGTCAAGGTCTATTTCCTTCAAACTCCATCTGTTTTCATATTTCATATAGAGTATTCGTGCCAAGTTTGGTCCAGACCCTTCATTGTTTGAGTCCACAGTGCTCTCTGGATGTAGGTGAACGACAACTCCCAAACTCAAGGTCAATGCCCACCAAATCCTTGTGTTTTCTGTTGGTCATGGGAGGTCCTGCGTGCCACATTTGGTTCAATTCCATCATTGGTGGAGTTCAGAGTGCTCTTTGATTGTAGGTGTACTATAAATCCCAGCAACTACAACTCCCAAATGACAAAATCAAATATTTTTGAGTGAAGGACATACATTGGGATGTTAGGTGTATGCTGTCCAAATTTGGTGTCAATTCATCCAGTGGTTTTTGAGTTCTGTTAATCCCACAAACGAACATTACATTTTTATTTATATAGATTGCAAGCAATGGCCTCCTTGTTCTGCTGCCCGAGGGAGGTTTATTCAGCTCCAAAAAAGGGCTGAAAAACTTGGCTTCTCTTTGTGTATATATGGTATTTTATTTGTTTAGAGATTAGGAATCATTTCCAAACAAAGCAGTGTTGATCCTTTGTTTGGAAGTTCCTTCAGCTTCATTGGGATCTAGAGTTGACCATTTCAAGTTCCTGTCATGGAGGTTCCTTCCTCAATCCTTACATGTGTTTCTCCCCATTTCCCCCCTCTTTTGCTCCAGTTTCTTTCTTTCTTTTTTTGGAATAAAGTTTTATTGAGTTTTCACATAGAATATATATAAAACCAAATAGAGATTACAAGGAAAGTGGGAGAACAATAAAGTATAGCAAAGTAGGAAAGAAGACAAAAAAAAAAAAGAAGAGAAAAAAAGAAAAAAAAATCAAAAAATCAATAAAAAAATCAAAAACTACACAAAAACAAAAGAAAAAATAAGAATAAAAATAGAAATATGTTGACTTCCATTCTGCATCTCTGCTTATCATATTTTATTGAACATGTCCCATAATATTAGTCAGTTCTATCCATTCTCAGGAAAAATTAAAATTTCATATTTTTAAAAGAGGCCTATTGGTATTATTACAATCTACTTTAATTATTTTACTGCCTCTTTTCCTTTAAGTATTTTTCAAAAAATGACCAGGCAGTCTCTCTTATGGGATTTCCCGAACTCTTCTTTTTCAAAAAAGTTAATTTGTCCATGTCTTTAACTTCTTGTATTTTATTTATCCAGTCTTCAAACTTAGGTATAGTATCTATTTTCCAAATCTTTGCATATGTAATTCTTGCAGCGGTAACTATATAAGTGAATAAAATGTCTTTATTTAGGTCCAGGGTAATATCTGAGTCAGTAATGTTGAGTAAATAATACTCTGGCTTTTTTGGGAAAGGAAATTCCCAGTATTTTTTGCGTTTCTTCATGAATGAACTTCCAATATTCTTGGGCTTTCCTACAGGTCCACCACATATGGAAGAAACTACCCTCCGCTCCTGACATTTCCAACATTTTTTATCCATATTTTTATACAACAACAACAACAACAATTCTTTATTGATTAGTCAATTTTGACCATATCAAAACATGCAAAACATACAAAACATACACACTTGCCCATACATACAGTAAAACCATATATGAATACAAGGCATCCTGGCCTACTGGCCTGTCAACCCACTCCTAAATGATTTGAGCAACTACAAGATAAAGAGGTTAAAAGATTAAAAATTGATTAATTCCTTAAAATAGGGTTAGGGTGGGGGGCATGGGTAGGCAAAACTAGTGGCATGTCCATATTAAGTTTTTAAGTTTGAGTTTTGTTGATGGCAGCAAGGTCGCCTCTCTCTGCTTCCATCTTCTCACGGATGGCCAGCGCTTTTTGGGTAAAAAGGGTCAATTTTAAAATAGAGTTTTTATCTGAACCCTGAAGAAGGATGTGCAATTTCTCCTTATTCTTTGAATAAGTATGGTTCTCCAGCAGGGGCTCTAGGTAGTAAGACCGGATCCTGTTGTAGTAGGGACATTTTAAGAAAAAATGTTCTGAGTCCTCCACTTCTGCATCTACCTCACGGCAGCCACAGGTTCTCCTCGTGTAGGGGATATTCTGATGTCGTCCCAACTTGGACTTAATGTCGAGCTGCTCAAATCTAGCCCAGGTAAAAAAAATTCTAATATAGAGTGGAAGTATAAAAGAGAGGTAAGGTTCCATGCCCACATTACATTTAAATTTGGCCAGGTATGGAGTGGCTCTAGCTTGCGCTATGTTCATTAGATCATTTTGTGCAGCAATGTCGAGAGCTCTTTGGTATACAATTGAGCATACATTTGCCCCAAAATTTGTTAACTCGTGGGGGGCAAAACCTAACCTACTAACTGTGTGGCCAAATCTGCTAAGCCAAGATGACCACTCTTTGTGGTTTTCTTGTTCTAGAAGGCATAGGGCTGGGAGTCTGTGTGGTTGCATTTGTCTTATTTTGTACCACCAATTGATCTGCCTCTTCAGAATTGTGGTGGAGATTGGGGGTACTCCCGTCTCTGCTGACAGGGATGATCTCTCCACACCTAAGCCAATTTTCAGGTGGCGCAGTTGGAATCTCTCTACCAATAAAGGGTCTTGCTCACCCCATATTTCAGCTCCATACAAAGCGATGGGGAACACCTTTGCCTTAAGAACCTTCAGAAAGGGGCGCAGAGAGCCCGGGTAATTGTGGTTGCATAATTTATGAATTGCCTGTGCAGCATTATCAGCTTTTGCAATACTTAATTTTAGATGTTGGGTCCATGCCCCTGATGCCGCAAAATGAAGACCTAAGTATTTAAATGTCCTCACTTGCTCCACTTTGTGCCCGTCAAGGTGCCAGTTGGAAGCCTTAGTTTTCTTACCAAAAATCATTATTTTGGATTTTCCTTTATTTATAGTGAGGGCATTTTCAGTACAGTATTGGCTAAGTTTTTGCAGGGACCTCCTTAACCCGACTGGGGTAGTGGATAACAATACTATGTCATCTGCGTATATCAAGATATTTGTCTCCCTATCCATAATCTTTGGACTGTGACATTCTTTCATATTCAAATATTCCACAATATCATTAATATAAAAATTAAAACAGAACGGAGCCAACAAACATCCCTGTCTCACGCCCCTAGTTGTAGGTATTCCACTGAAGACTGCCCCACTGTTATCTAATCTCACTTTAACTGAGGAGTCATCATAAAGAGCAATCATAAGAGCTAAGAGTCTTTTATCTATGTTGGACTTCAAAAATTTCCTCCAGAGTAACTCTCGGCTTATATTTTTATACATTAAGCCTAATTTTTTTGGAGTAATATACCACCTATGGAACATTTTGAGCCAATTTTCTTTAAAATCTTTCGCGTATGTGTATTTCATTTTTTTATTCCATATTAATTCCCATTCTTTTAATTTGATGGGTCTCCTTAAGTTTTCTGCCCATCTAATCATACAATTTTTTATAACTTCAGTTTCAGTTGACCATTCCAATAACTTGTCATAAATTTTTGTTATTAATTTCCTCTGTGTTTGCTCCTCTCTTTTGCCCCAGTTTCGATGACGTTCTGTGCCTTGAGGATTCCACATCCCTTTCAGAGATCACCTTAGATGGCAACCCCATAGCGCTGGAGACATGGTACAAGCCAACCGTTCTCCACCATATGATGCAGCTCCGACAGCTAGATATGAAGAAAATCACGGTGAGAAACAACAAATTCCTCACCAGAGGAATTTGCAATGAGTCAAATCTTTCACAAAAAATAATAATTGTATATCATACATTACATTGTATTTATTGTAATATTATATTGTTATTGTATTCATATGTTTTAATGTAATTATGATGCTGTTGCTTGTTGCTTATGTTTTTGGTTTTATTTTGCTGTAATATGTTGTCTGGGCTTGGCCTCATGTATTATTATTATTATTTATTTTATTTGCTTTATTTCTATACCGCATTTTTCAGCCCAAACAGGCGACTCAATGCGGTTTACATGGTACAAATTATCAAACAATGTCAGTGCAATTAAAACGCAGCAAATGCAACAAACAGGAACAACAACATCAATCCACAACAATTAACAAATCAAATCAAGACAAGTCAACAAAACAAAACAAACGCCTCAGTGAAATCAGATCCGTTCTCATAATCCTTGTGCCATTCCTATGTTCCATTTACCGTCTTCCTTTGATTGGTTGCACTGCTTAACCAAACGCTTGTTCATAAAGCCAGGTCTTAACCTTTCTCCGAAACGCCAGCAACGAAGGTGCCTGTCTGATGTCTGCCGGTAAGGCATTCCATAGCCGAGGGGCCACCACTGAGAAGGCCCTGTCTCTCGTCCCCGCCAAGCGCGCCTGTGACGCAGGTGGGACCGAGAGCAGGGCCTCCCCAGACAATCTTAATGTTCTAGTTGGTTCATAGGTGGAGATGCGTTCGGAGAGGTAAGTGGGGCCAGAACCGTTTAGTGCTTTATAGGCTAAAGCCAGCACCTTGAATTGTGCCCGGTAGCGGATTGGCAGCCAGTGGAGCTGGCTCAACAGAGGAGTGGTATGCTCCCTGAGTGCCGCTCCCGTTAGCAACCTGGCTGCCGAGCGCTGGACCATCTGAAGCTTCCAGGCAGTCTTCAAGGGCAACCCCACGTAGAGCGCGTTGCAGTAATCAATCGGGATGTAACCAGAGCGTGGACTACCGTGGCCAAGTCAGACTTCCCAAGGTACGGGCGCAGCTGACGCACAAGTTTTAGTTGTGCAAATGCTCCTCTGGACACCGCCGAAACCTGGGGTTCCAGGCTTAGCGATGAATCCAGGGTCACACCCAAGCTGTGAACCTGCGTCTTCAGGGGGAGTGTAACCCCGTCTAACACAGGCTGTAACCCTATACCCTGTTCGGCCTTGCGACTGACCAGGAGTACCTCTGTCTTGTCTGGATTCATTTTCAATTTGTTTGCCCTCATCCAGACCGTCACAGCGGCCAAGCACCGGTTCAGGACCTGAACAGCCTCCTTAGTAGCAGGTGGGAAGGAGTGACAGAGTTGGACATCATCTGCATACAGATGACACCGCACCCCGAAACTCCGGATGATCTCTCCCAACGGCTTCATGTAGATGTTAAACAAATACAATATTGAACCCTGCGGAACCCCACAAGACAATGGTTGTGAGGTAGAGCAGTTGTCCCCCAGCAACACCTTCTGAGTACGATCCTCTAGGAAGGACCTGAGCCACTGCAGAACAGTGCCACCAAGGCCCATTCCTGCGAGGCGTCTCAGAAGGATACCGTGGTCGACGGTATCGAAGGCTGTCAACCACGGTATCCTTCTGAGATGTAAGCCGCCTTGAGACAAGGTTGAACTTTCCCCTGCCCCCCCCCCCCTATTGTTCTGTGTCCTAGTTTTCAGGGCAGCAGAAAGGAAGCTTGCTCCCTCCTCCCTGTGACTTCCTCTCTCAGCTTTTTCTTCAGGCTAAACATGCCCAGCTCCTTAAGCCGCTCCTCATAGGGTTTGTTCTCCAGACCCTTGATCATTTTAGTCGCCCTCCTCTGGACACATTCCAGCTTGTCAATATCTCCCTTCAATTGTGGTGCCCAGAATTGGATACAGTATTCCAGGTGTGGTCTAACCAAGGCAGAATAGAGCATGGGGAGCATGACTTCCCTGGATCTAGACACTAGATTCCTATTGATGCAGGCCAACATCCTGTTGGTTTTCAAAAGGGGGTGTCTACATGTTCATAGAGATTCACATTTGTCAAAAGGACGTGACATCATTTTTACCTTTTCCATAAGGTTATAGTGCAGTTATTTCCAAGCGGCTATGGAATTTCCAATAGAAGTCCAGTACAACTTTGAGGTCACCATGTTCCGGTGAGGGGAAAGCTACTATAAATCTATCCCCTTTTATATTCCGAGATGCTTTTTAATCTGTTCTCTCAGCTGTTGAGGATGGTTAAGTTTTTCAAGCTATGAATATCATCTTAAAGTCATCAAATATTGATCAGAGGTCCGGCCAGACTTTCTCTACTTTGCTTTTAAAGAACACGGAACTTGCTGTCTTTTCCCACTCGTCAAATTTTGACAATGGGTCCCTAAAGATTTCCCCTTCTTTCCCATTTGCCTTGTAAGCATGGCACCATCTCTGCAGTACCACCTCTTTCAAATCCATTTCTTATTTTGTTTTGACCACCCAGCTGGGCAATCTGATGATGCCTGCATCGTTCTCCTATTAAATCACGAGGCCTGTTCTCGTCTTGCTAAAAACGCCATGTCTGTGACTTTTCCTGAGTCTCAGCAAAGATCACACAGACTGCTCAGAGAGATTTTATTTTCCATTACCGTCATCTATTTTTCAGCATAATGGCTGCTGTGGGCTTTGCAGAATCCAGTTCTGTGGGCATCAGCAGGCAGTTCCTTGTGCCGTCTCTCTCTTTTCCTCCCACTCCTGTATTGCCGTGACTCAGAAAGCAGCTGGCTAGAGCTTTTTTTCATTGTTCTGGATGGGTTTCCAGATATCAGACATCCACTGGCTGCCAGTTTGCTACCAGGCACAATTCAAAGTGCTGGCTTTAGCCTATAAAGCCCTAAGTGGTTCTGGCCTAACTTACATGTCTGAATGCATCTTATGAACGATCTAGAACAGTGTTTCTCAACCTGGGGGTCGGGACTCCTGAAGGGGTCGCAAGGGGGTGTCAGAGAGGTCGCCAAAGATTATCTGTTGGTCATGGGGATTCTGTGTGGGAAGTTTGGTCCAATTCTATCATTGGTGGGGTTCAGAATGCTCTCTGGTTGTAGGTGAACTATAAATCCCAGCAACTACGACTACCAAGTGTCAAAATCTATTTTCCCCAAATTCTACCAGTGTTCACATTTGGGCATATTGAGGATTCGTGCCAAGTTTGGTCCAGATCCATCATTGTTTGAGTCCATAGTGCTCTCCGGATATAGGTGAACTACAACTCCAAAATTCAAGGTCAATGCCCACCAAACCTTTCCAGTATTTTCTGTTGGTCATGGGAGTTCTGTGTGCCACATTTAATTCAATTCCATCGTTGGTGGAGTTCAGAATGCTCTTTGATTGTAGGTGAACTATAAATCCCAGCAACTACAACTCCCAAATAAGAAAATCAATCCTCCCCTCCCCAGTATTAAAATTTGGTCGTATTTGATATTTGTGCCAAATTTTGTCCAGTGAATAAAAATACATCCTGTATATCAGATATTTACATTACGATTCATAACAGTAGCAAAATTGCAGTTATGAAGTAGCAATGGAAATAACTTTATGGTTCAGGGTCACCACACCATGAGGAACCGTGTTAAGGGTTCATGGCATTCAGAAGGTTGAGAAACTGATCTAGAACCTTAAGATCATCTGGGGAGGCCTTGCTGTTGTTACCGCCTTTGTCGCAAGTACGTTTGATGGAGACGAGAGACAGTGTATTCTCAGTGGTGGCCCCTTGGCTGTGGAACCCTATAGATATTAGATCTGCCATCTTCCTTTTAACATTCCGGAAAAAATCAAGACGTGGCTTTTTGAGAAAGCGTTTGCAAATGCAGAGTAACTGACACAGGAAAATAGAATGACTAGACAATTAGTCCGGACAACGTTTTTAAGGAGACACTATGAATTCATATTTTACTAGCCATCCCCTGCCATGCATTGCTGTGGCCCACATGGGGGTTCTGTGTGGGAGGTTTGGCCCAATTCTACCGTTGATGGGGTTCAGAATGCTCTTTGATTGTAGGTGAACTATAAATTCCAGCAACTACAACTCCCAAATGACAAAATCAATTTTTTTGAGTGAAGGACATACATTGGGTTGTGTCCAAATTTGGTGTCAATTCGTCCAGTGGTTTTTGAGTTCTGTTAATCCCACGAATGAACATTACATTTTTATTTATATAGATTGATTTGTTTAATTTTTATTATATGTTATGTTTTTAATTGTATTTATGACATTGTAAGCATTGAATTTTGCCCTGTTAACCGCCTTGAGTCGCTTATGGGCTGAGAAAGGCGGTATACAAATCTATATAAATAAAAATGTAATGTTTGTTTGTGGGATTAACAGAACTCAAAAAACCACTGGGGGAATTGACACCAAATTTGGACACAAGACACCTAACAACCCGATGTATGTCCTTCACTCATAAAAACACTGAAAAACACAGCAGATAGAACTTTAAAAAGCCCCAAAAAGCAAAATGACAATACAGTAAAAAGGGAAGAAAGAGGGAGGGAAGGAGAAAAAGAAAGAAAGACAAAAGAAAGAGGGAGGGAGGGAAAGAAAAGGAAAGGGAGAAGGAAGCATGGAAGGAAAGAGAGAAGGAAGGAAGAGGTAGAGAAGGAAGAAAGGAGAGAAAGAGGGAGGAAGAAAAAGGGAAGGAAGGAAAGTTAGAGAAAGAAAGGAGAGAAGGAAAGAAAAAAGGAAAGAAGGAAGGAAAGAGGGAGCGAAGGAAGGGGGGAGATGTAGAGAAAAGAAAAGAGAAAGCAGAAGAGAAAAAAAAAGGGGGAAGGAAGGAAAGAGATAGAGAAGGAAGAAAAGAAGGAAAGACGGGAAGGAAGGAAGGAAGGAAGGAAGGAAGGAAGGAAGGAAGGAAGGAAGGAAGGAAGGAAAGAGGGAATGAAGGAAGGAGGGAAAGAAGGAGAGAAAAAGGGAGAGAAGGTTGGCCACAGCAATGCGTTGCAGGTCCAGCTAGTACAATAAATAATAAATGAATAAATCAGTCTGTGACTGCAACACCCAGAACCAGCCAGCAGTTGTTTTCCAGGGGATTCTGGGAGTTGTAGTCCAAAGATTGATGTTTCCAGGTTCTGGAGACCTACCCAGAACGTTCACCTAGTGCCTCTGGTGTTGCTATAAGAAGGTCTTCCATTGTGCATGTGGCAGGGTTCAGGTTGCATTGTAATAGGTGGTCTGTGCATTGCTCTTCTCCATACTCTTAAGTCCACATTGGCCGCTTGGGGGAGCCTCTAGATTGCCAAAAACCAAACGACTCAGCTCTTCTTTTCAGATGTGTTTTTGGAAGTTTCCTTTCAAATCAAAGGAGGAGGCCCTGGGATACATGGCAGTAAAAAGAGAGGGAGAAAGCCATAGTTGTTTCTGAGAGCAGAACTTGTGGATTTCCCCTGTCAATAAAGAAGGGGAAGGAATAATAGTAGTAATATTGGTGTTGGGCACCTGGATGAAGAAGAGGAAGAATTGGTGCAGAATTATAATCACCACCATCATCATTGTGAAATCACAACAACAAAAACAGTGCTTTGAATGTGCTAGATTATCCACCAATATCTATAATTCTCACATTCTGGCCAAATAATGGGAATCTCTGATGCTTTAAAAATTGTCAATTCTTGCAAAAATCAGCATCATTGATCCTTTAAGTTCTGCCAGTAATCTATATAAATAAAAATGTAATGTTCGTTTGTGGGATTAACAGAACTCAAAAACCACTGGACGAATTGCCGCCAAATTTGGCCACAAGATACCTACTAACCCAAGGAGTGACCATCACTCAAAAAAATTGATTTTGTCATTCGTGAGTTGTAGTTGCTGGAATTTATAGTTCACCTACAATCAAAGAACATTCGGAACCCCGCCAACGATGGAATTGAACTAAACATGGCACACAGATAAATCAAAAAGCATGCCAAAATATTTCTGTTGGAGGACCTCTTGTCTTTGTTGCTTGGAATGACATGCGAGCCTCAAAGCAACGGCTTTCGTTGTTGTTTGTATTCAAACCTAGGAAGAAGAAAGGCGCATGGCATCGGTTGCACTCAGGAGAGAGGAAGAGAAGCGGCGCGAGAGCCACAAGCAGACTTTACTCAAGGTACTAAGCTGCGGGCCTTTATTGACATATCAAAATCCATGATCTTGTCCCTAAATCATGTCCTCAAGTTACACACAAATATGTCCAATTTATTTGATTTATTTATTGTGTCAGGGGCAACCAGACAATTGTATTACATTTCTAACAGAACAAAACAAACAAACAAACAGACAAAACACAAAGTTTGCAAGCTTGGTAGTTGATTAAATGTCCTTTGACCAGTATCTGGCCACTTGGAGTGCCTCTGGTGTTGCCACAAGAAGGTCCTCCATTGTGCATGTAGCAGGGCTCAGGTTGCATTGCAGCAGGTGGTCTGTGGTTTGCTCTTCTCCACACTCGCATGTCGTGGATTCCACTTTGTGGCCCCATTTCTTAAGATTGGCTCTGCATCTCGTGGTGCCAGAGCGCAGTTTGTTCAACGCCTTCCAAGTCGCCCAGTCTTCTGTGTGCCCAGGGGGGAGTCTCTCATTTGGTATCAGCCATTGGTTGAGGTTCTGGGTTTGAGCCTGCCACTTTTGGACTCTCGCTTGCTGAGGTGTTCCAGCGAGTGTTTCTGTAGATCTTAGAAAACTATTTCTTGATTTAAGTCATTGACGTGCTGGCTGATACCCAAACAAGGGATGAGCTGGAGATGTCTCTGCCTTGGTCCTTTCACTATTGGCTGCTACTTCCTGGTGGTGCAATACCGACTAAACAGTGTAATTTCTCCAGTGATGTGTTCCACACTGGGCATGCATACTCAGCAGCAGAGTAGCATAGCGCAAGGGCAGATGTCTTCATCTGTATCTGGTTGTGATCCCCAGGTTGTGCCAGTCAGCTTTCGTATGATATTGTTTCTAGCACCCACTTTTTGCTTGATATTCAGGCAGTGATTCTTGTAGGTCAGAGCACGGTCCAGAGTGACTCCCAGGTATTTGGGTGCGCTGCAATGCTCCAGTGGGATTCCTTCCCAGGTAATCTCAGAGCTCGGGATGCTTGTCTGTTCTTAAGGTGAAAGACACATGTCTGTGTTTTAGATGGATTAGGGATCAGCTGGTTTTCCCTGTAATAGGCAGTTAGAGCACCTAGAGCTTCGGAGAGCTTCTGTTCTACCATCTCAAAGCTCCCTGCTTGAGCAGTAATGGCACGATCATCAGCATAGATGAAGCTCTCTGTCCCTTCTGGCAGTGGCTGGTCATTTGTGTAAATGTTGAACATGGATGGAGCGAGCACGCTCCCCTGAGGCAGGCCGTTCTTCTGTTTCCACCATCTGCTTCTCTGGCCCTGGAGCCACATCCACTGTTTTAGCGTGTTGAGATGTGTTCCACACTGGGCATGCATACTCAGCAGCAGAGTAGCATAGCTCAAGGGCAGATGTCTTCACTGTGTCTGGTTATAATCCCCAGGTTGTGCCAATATGTCCAATGAATTCTTTTAATTATTTTAATTCAGCACGGTAGCCTTTTGTTTCACAGTCTGGTTGGAGGATATTTATGGTTTTCAGTAAAATACAACTGTAGATCCTACAAGGATTCTTGGGCAAAACTGATTATCTGGACTCATCGCACTCTGGTTTCAGGCCTGATCATGGTACCGAGATGGCTTTGGTCGCCTTGGTGGATGACTTCCGCAAAGAACTTGACCAAAAAAAACCCAACTTTATTTTTCTACCCTGCTTCCATCTCCCCGAGGGGACTCGGGGTGGCTTGTTGTTGTTCATTCGTTCAGTCGTCTCCGACTCTTCGTGACCTCATGGACCAGCCCACGCCAGAGCTCCCTGTCGGCCGTCACCACCCCCAGCTCCTTCAACGTCAGTCCAGTCACTTCAAGGATGCCATCCATCCATCTTGCCCTTGGTCGGCCCCTCTTCCTTTTGCCTTCCACTTTCCCCAGCATAATTGTCTTCTCTAGGCTTTCCTGTCTCCTCATGATGTGACCAAAGTACTTCAACTTTGTCTCTAGTATCTTTCCCTCCAGTGAGCAGTCGGGCTTTATTTCCTGGAGGATGCACTGGTTGGATCTTCTCGCAGTCCAAGGCACTCTCAGAACTTTCCTCCAACACCACAGCTCAAAAGCATCGATCTTCCTTCGCTCAGCCTTCCCTAAGGTCCAGCTCTCACATCCGTAGGTGACTACGGGAATACCATTGCTTTAACTAGGCCGATCTTTGTTGCCAGTCTGATGTCTCTACTCTTCACTATTTTATCGAGACTGGACATTGCTCTCCTCCCAAGAAGGAAGCGTCTCCTGATTTCCTGGCCACATTCTGCATCTGCAGTCATCTTTGCACCTAGAAATACAAAGTCTGTCACGGCCTCCACGCTTTCTCCCTCTATTTTCCAGTTGTCAATCATTCTTGTTGCCATAATCTTGGTTTTTTTGATGTTTAGCTGCAACCCAGCTTTTGCGCTTTCTTCTTTCACCTTGATTAGAAGGCTCCTCAGCTCCTCCTCGCTTTCGGCCATCAGAGTGGTGTCATCTGCATATCTGAGGTTGTTAATGTTTCTTCCAGCAATTTTCACCCCAGCGTTGCATTCATCCAGCCCCGCACATCGCATGATGTGTTCTGCATACAAGTTAAAAAGGATGGGTGAGAGGATGCAGCCTTGCCGTACGCCTTTCCCAATCTTGAACCAGTCTGTTGTTCCGTGGTCAGTTCTGACTGTTGCTACTTGGTCCTTGTACAGATTCCTCAGGAGAGAGACAAGGTGGCTTGGGTGCCCATCCCACTAAGAACTTGCCACAATTTATTATGATCCACACAGTCAAAGGCTTTAGAATAGTCAATGAAGCAGAAGTAGATGTTTTTCTGAAACTCCCTGCCTTTCTCCATTATCCAGCGGATATTGGCAATTTGGTCTCTCGTTCCTCTACCTTTTCTAAACCCAGCTTGAACATCTGGCAACTCTCGCTCCATGTATTGCTGGAGTCTTCCTTGCAGGATCTTGAGCATTACATTACTGGCATGAGAAATAAGGGCCACTGTACGGAAGTTTGAGCAGTCTTTCGCATTTCCCTTTTTTGGTATGGGGATATAAGTTGATTTTTTCCAGTCTGATGGCCATTCTTGTGTTTTCCATATTTGCTGGCAAACGGCATGCATCACCTTGACAGCATCATCTTTTAAGATTTTAAACAGTTCAGCTGGGATCCCGTCATCTCCTGCTGCCTTGTTGTTAGCAATGCTTCTTAAGGCCCATTCAACCTCACTCCTCAGGATGTCTGGTTCTAATTCATTCACCACACCGTCAAAACTATCCTCAATATTCTTATCCTTCCTATACAGATCTTCTGTATAGTCTCGCCACCTTCTCTTGATCTCTTCAGCTTCTGTTAGGTCCCTGCCATCTTTGTTTCTTATCATACCAATTTTTGCCTGAAATTTACCTCCAATGTTTCTAATTTTCTGGAAGAGGTCTCTTGTCCTTCCTATTCTGTTGTCTTCTTCCACTTCCATGCATTGCTTATTTAAAAATAGTTCCTTATCTCTTCTGGCTAACCTCTGGAATTGCGCATTTAACTGGGCATATCTCCCCTTTTCACCGTTTCCTTTTGCTTTCCTCCTTTCTTGGGCTACTTCCAGTGTCTCAGCAGACAACCATTTTGCCTTCTTGGTTTTCTTTTTCTTTGGAACGTACTTTGTTGCCGCCTCCTGAACAATGTCTCGGACTTCTGTCCATAGTTCTTCTGGGACTCTGTTTACTAAATCTAGTCCTTCAAATCTGTTCTTCACTTCCACTGTATATTCGCTAGGAATGTTAGTGAGATCATATCTAACTGGTCTGTGTATTTTCCCTGATCTCTTTAGTTTTATTCTAAATTGTGCAATAAGAACTTCGTGATCTGAGCTACAGTCAGCCCCAGGTCTTGTTTTCACCGACTGGATGGATGTCCGCCACCTTTGGCTGCAAAGGATGTAGTCAATCTGATTTCGGTGTTGACCGTCTGGAGAGATCCATGTGTAAAGCCGTCTTTTAGGTTGTTGGAAGAGAGTATTCGTTATACACAGCGAGTTTTCCTGGCAAAATTCTATCAGCCTGTGTCCCGCTTCATTTTGTTCTCCCAGACCATGCTTGCCTGTGATCCCTGTTGTCATTTGACTGCCCACCTTGGCATTCCAGTCTCCTGTAATGAAAATAATGTCTCTTTTTGGTGTATTATCCAGTAGGTCCTGCAGATCCTCATAGAACTGATCTACTTCTGCTTCTTCAGCAGCTGTGGTTGGGGCGTATATTTGGATCACTGTAATGTTGAAAGGCTTTCCTTGCACTCGAATTGAGATCATTCTGTCATTTTTTGGGTTGTATCCAAGCACCGCTTTAGCGAATTTCTTATTAATTATGAAGGCTACTCCATTTCTTCGATGTTCCTCTTGTCCGCAGTAGTAGATCTGGTGGTCATCTGATGTGAAGTGGCCCATTCCAGTCCATTTCAGTTCGCTGACCCCCAGAATGTCTATCTTTAGTCTTGACATCTCACCAATAACAACATCCAATTTGCCCTGGCTCATAGATCTTACATTCCAGGTTCCTATGGTGTGTTGATCTTTAGAGCATCGGATTCGTCGTTCACCTCCAGTACCGTCGGCCGCTAGCCTTCCTTTCGGCTTTGAGCTAGCTGCGTCATCACATCTGGGACTAGTTGAACTTATCCTCTGCTCCTCCCCAGTAGCATTTTGGCCATCTTCCGACCTGGGAGTCCCATCTTCCAATGGCATACCGACATATCTCTGGTTGTACTGGTCCATTTAGTTTTCTTGGCAAGGATACTGGAGTGGTTTGCCATTGCCTTCCCCAGGGATCACGCTTGGTCTGACCTCTCTGCCACAACCGTCCCGTCTTGGGTGTCCCTTCACGGTTTCGCTCATGACATCATTGAGGTGCTCAAGCTCCAGCGCCCCGACAAGGCGGTGATCCTTTGCTGGAGCGGGGTGGCTTACATGGGGCCAAGCCCAAGGCAACATACAATTAAAAACAGAAATAACATATTAAAATAGCAGTAGCCGTCCCCTGCCACACGTTGCGGTGGCCCAGTCTGGTGATCTGGAAAATAAAATAATGAGAAAGTGTTGGTTTCTAATATATGTAATTTCTTTATGCTTGTGTTGATGTAGAGATTGTCTGGTTGGCCTACTCTGGAATATGCAACATAGAATTATCCTTGTTTAGGGGTCCCTTTCAAATCTATGATACTATATCTCTTTCTCTGTGTGTGAATCATATATAGCTATCTATATCTATGGCTGGATGGCTCTTTGTCAGGAGGGCTTTGATTACATTTTCTTGCCCTGGTGAAGAGAGTTGGACTGGATGGCCTTAAGTATTTTCTATTGGTCATGGGGGTTCTGTGTGGGAACTTTGCCCCAATTTTGTCATTGGTGGGGTTCAGAATGCTCTTTGATTGTAGGTGAACTATAAATCCCAGCAACTACAACTCCCAAATGACAAAAATCAATTTTTTTGAGTGATGGTAACTCCTTGGGTTAGTAGGTGTCTTATGGCCAAATTTGGCAGCAATTTGTCCAGTGGTTTTTGAGTTATGTTCATCCCACAAACGAACATTACATTTTTATTTATATAGATATAAATAGCATAAACAACAATAAACAAACATCATAAGCAACAACAGAGTCCCAAGGCGGGATACAAAAATAAAGTTATTATTATTATTATTATTATTATTATTATTTTTATTATTAATGCAATGTCTCTTTTTAGGAGAAGAAACGCTTGACCATTAGCAACATCGCACGTCTCTGGGAGAGCCAGCAGAACCGCTTTGCTGCGCTGCCTTCTGACGAAACAAAGGATGAAGACACTGATATCTGTCAGAAAACAAGAAATGCAGCGTATGGATTCCCTGAGGAAGCCAGGTATGAAAGGCTTGATTCTTGGCAAGGCATGGCCACCGTTATTTCATGCAAATCCTATGAATAAGAGAATCAAAAAGCTTTTGTTGTCCACTAGAGGATTATTATAAATACAGGCAGCCCCTTGGAGATGAGACAACAGTAAGTGAGAGAAACCTAGAATCAAAGAGTTGGAAGAGACCTCATGGGCCATCCAGTCCAACCCCCATTCTGCCAAGAAGCAGGAATATTGCATTCAAATCACCCCTGACAGATGGCCATCCAGCCTCTGTTTAAAAGCTTCCAAAGAAGGAGCCTCCACCACACTCCGGGGCAGAGAGTTCCACTGCTGAACGGCTCTCACAGTCAGGAAGTTCTTCCTCATGTTCAGATGGAATCTCCTTTCTTTCCTGGAAGAGTTATTATAATGTGGAAAAGGAAGGAACCCCCAGTGGCGCAGTGGGTTAAACCCTTGTACCGGCAGGACTGAAGACCGATAGGTCACAGGTTCGAATCTGAGGAGAGCGTGGATGAGCTCCCTATGTTAGCTCCAGCTCCCCTTGTGAGGACATGAGAGAAGCCTCCCACAAGGATGGTATAACATCAAAACATCCAGGGCGTCCCCTGGGCAACGTACTTGCAGACGGCCAACTCTCTCAAACCAGAAGTGACTTGCAGTTTCTCAAGTCACTCCTGACACACCAAAAAAAGGGGGAAAGGGGTCTCACCAATCCTTTATTTCCACAGCCAGCCAAAATGTTCAAAATTATCACAGGGACACAAAGTGAGATGAAATCTTCAGAACGGGGGGCATAGAAAGCAAAGGAAACACTACAAGGGTGTTAACCCTTCCCTATGATAGCCAGAGATACATACATTCACACACACATATATGGTGGAGTTACACTTAAAAATATAGTTGTTCTGACTTACAAACCAATTCAGCTTTAAAACAAACCTACGGAACCTCTCTTGCTTGTAAATTAGGGACTGCCTTTATTTATTTATTTTATTTATTTCAAACATTTGTACCCTGCCCTCCACAACCCCCTGGGGTGGGGGGACTCAGGGCGGCTTACATCCGGCACAATTCGATGCCATTACATATAAATAATACATACAGTAATACATATAAAACACAGTAAATTGATTACAAAATGTCAAAGATAGAATCATAGAATCAAAGAGTTGGAAGAGACCTCATGGGCCATCCAGTCCAACCCCATTCTGCCAAGAAGCAGGAATATTGCATTCAAATCACCCCTGACAGATGGCCATCCAGCCTCTGTTTAAAAGCTTCCAAAGAAGGAGCCTCCACCACACTCAGGGGCAGAGAGTTCCACTGCTGAACGGCTCTCACAGTCAGGAAGTTCTTCCTAATGTTCAGATGGAATCTCCTTTCTTGTAGTTTGAAGCCATTGTTCCGTGTCCTAGTCTCCAAGGAAGCAGAAAACAAGCTTGCTCCCTCCTCCCTGTGGCTTCCTCTCACATATTTATACATGGCTATCATATCTCCTCTCAGCCTTCTCTTCTTCAGGCTAAACATGCCCAGCTCCTTAAGCCGCTCCTCATAGGGCTTGTTCTTCAGACCCTTGATCATTTTAGTCGCCCTCCTCTGGACACATTCCAGCTTGTCAATATCTCTCTTGAATTGTGGTGCCCAGAATTGGACACAATATTCCAGGTGTGGTCTAACCAAGGCAGAATAGAGCATGGGTAGCATTACTTCCCTAGATCTAGACACTATGCTCCTATTGATGCAGGCCAAAATCCCATTGGCTTTTTTTGCCGCCACATCACATTGTTGGCTCATGTTTAACTTGTTGTCCACGAGGACTCCAAGATCTTTTTCACACGCACTGCTCTCGAGCCAGGCATTGTCCCCCATTCTATATCTTTGCATTTTGTTTTTCCTTCCAAAGTGGAGTATCTTGCATTTGTCACTGTTGAACTTCATTTTGTTAGTTTTGGCCCATCTCTCTAATCTGTCAAGATCGTTTTGAATTCTGCTCCTGTCCTCTGGAGTATTGGCTATCCCTCCCAATTTGGTGTCGTCTGCAAACTTGATGATCCTGCCTTCTAGCCCTTCATCTAAGTCATTAATAAAGATGTTGAACAGGACCGGGCCCAGGACAGAACCCTGCGGCACTCCCCTCGTCACTTCTTTCCAGGATGAAGAGGAAGCATTAGAAACCCACCCCTTGGAAGGGAAATCCACTCCTGGAAGAGTTATTATAATGTGGAAAAGGAAGGAACCCCCGGTGGTGCAGTGGGTTAAACCCTTGTACCGGCAGGACTGAAGACCGATAGGTCACAGGTTTGAATCTGAGGAGGGTGTGGATGAGCTCCCTATGTTAGCTCCAGCTCCCCTTGTGGGCACATGAGAGAAGCCTCCCACAAGGATGGTATAACATCAAAACATCCTGGGCGTCCCCTGGCAACGTACCTGCAGACGGCCAATTCTCTCAAACCAGAAGTGACTTGCAGTTTCTCAACTCACTCCTGACACACACCCCCCAAAAAATAATGGGGAAAAGGGGTCTCTGCAGAAGTTTTCTCACCAATCCTTTATTTCCACAGCCAGCCAAAATGTTCAAAATTATCACAGGGACACAAAGTGAGGTGAAATCTTCTGAAAGCAAAGGAAACACTATTTATTTATTTATCGTGTCATCAGCAACCATACCATTGTATTACATTTTTAACAGAACAAAACAAACAAACAGATAAAAAAGCACAATTTTTGCAAATTTGGTAGTTGATTACATGTCCTTTGACCAATATCTGGCCACTTGG